TTTAGTAGATAGTTTTTACATCTCAACTACACTAACTATGCATCTCCAGTACAATATTTATGCAACAAATTTACAATAAAATAGCAGTAGCTGAGTAACCATGTGAGAATTTCAGCAAGTATTTTCATTTTTCACTAAATATGCATCTTTTGTACACTATTTAGGCAACGAAGTACAATAAAATAGCAACAATGCTTACAGTAACCATGCAAGAATTTAGTAGATAGTTTTCACATCTCAACTACACTAACTATGCATCTCCAGTACAATATTTATGCAACAAATTTTCATTTTTCCATACACTAAGTATGCATCTCTTATGCAATATATATGCAACGAACTTATAATAAAATAGCAACAAATTTACAGTTACCATGTAAGAATTGAGTAGATATTTTTTTACATCTTTACTATTTATGCAGTTCCTAAAATCTAAACATGCAATGTTTTATAATATAAATCCAATCGCTTTATAAAAAGCTAAAATGAAACATCCTTAAGCTAAATATGCAACTACTAAAAACTGAATATGCAACTTGTTTCACTAAATATGCATATGATAGTAACTAACTTTCCATACACTGATCATAAAAAAGGCATCTCGTCAGAAACTTAAAAGTATCCTTAGAAACTTGATTAATTACAATCAGCAACCATTTCAATTACATCAAAAACCATTCTCATCAACCCACCAACTAAAAAATCATCATCCTGATAAAGTATTGTTCATCAAAAAACAACAAACAGTCAAAACACAAAAGGTATAGTTCAACAACCCAACAAATCAACAACGAGATATACCCGCAAACTCCAACTCCATCACAGGCTTGCTTTTCGCAAGAAACGCACGTGCCTTCTGTTCGTTTTCCTTCTTCAGTTCATTGATTTCATTAAGAACAATGTCAGCACAATATCGAGTGCGCATTTCCTTCATTTGTTGAGGATTGTCCTTCATCAACCCGCAATCCCAACCTTTTACACCACCTCCCATGTACGTCTCCATATGATACATTGCAAAAATGCCACAATCAACCTTGTTCTTTTCATCTCGCCATGGCAAATCAAGTCTCACAGCCCTCATTTTTTTTACAGCCGCTGCCAATTCATCACATTTCTTGGATTTCAAGTATACACTAAACAACTTTCTCTGAAAAGAACAAAAAAAAGAGGTGCTAAACATATAACATAAAAGATTTTGACAAAAAAAAGAATGATATTATAAAAACATGAAAGATAATCACCAAATTTGAAGGGCAACTCTGATATTTGGCAATACTACATCCTCCAACTGACGAATTATCCAAGATGTGATATTGATTTCTCTTCATATCAAAGCACATGACAAAAAAGTGCTCGCTCTTGTAGATGGGAAAGAAAAACTGAACACAAATAAAATAAATACATTATTACCCATGAGATTAAGTAGATTAAACAAATTGGTTTCATAATAAAAATAAAATTACCATATCAATATCTTTAACATGTGGATGAGCATCAGAACGATTGAATTCATCATCAAAATCATCTTCAAACTGCTTGAGATTATTTTTCAACTCCCATTTTTCATCAGCTGTGCACACGGTGTAATTCTGAACACAATAAACATATATAAATACACTTTATAATTAAAAATGATAACAAATATCTAGTGAGCAACAAAATATAAATAAATATGCATAACATATAAACTATCTTCGCAACTATCAAGTACTAATATAGCAATAACAAAAATCAAATTGTTCTACAAATTTTATGCAACGATTGTCAACTAAATATACATCAGGAGATAATTATCTATGCATCAGATAACAACTAATATAGCAACATCAAAGAACATATTGATATGGACAAACTATGCAAGATTGAAAAGTTAAATATGCATCGAAATACATTATATATGCATAGATGAATAACTAAAATAGCAACAATATAAAACTGAAACTTACACCTCAGTCAACAAAATAGTATATCAAAGAGTTGCAACAATAAAAAATAAACTTACACTGAGATAAGTAGTTGAAAAATATCTCAGAGGACGGTCGGAATTCCTAAATTTTTCTTTAGCATTCAGAATTCTTGACCATATATCAAGAATACCAACAAAAACATATGCATCAACTTTCAGGGATTCAAGCTGCTCCTTCATGATCATGGCCTCACCAAATTTAAATATTTCATCAAACCTAAAAGAAAAGTATAAAAACTAATTATAAGTAGTTGTAAGCAAGATAAGAAAAATTAAAATTAATGTAGATAAGTAGGAAAAGTTACTTAGTTTCCTCATCATCTTCAACAATCCAATCGAAAACAACAGTTGGCTCTAAATTAGCAACCAAAAGTGTATCCTTCTCAGTTGCCCTCACACTCGATTTTGACCTTTGGTACTTTCTTTTCGCAAGTCTTTCTTCTTTTCTTTTATTTTCTTCTTCAACAAACTGAACTTTCTTTTTTCGTTTCAACAATTTTCTTCCTTGATCATCCATGGCTACCACAGACTGCAACCAAATACAACCAAATACATAACTTATTGATTAAAATAAAATTGCAGTACATAAAAATACAAAATAGAAAAAATCGAAACAACATTTTCACCTTCTCTAACTCCTTCTCTTTCTCTTTCTCTATCACAATCTCCTCATTCAATTTCTCGCTTACAATCTCCATCTCAACAGCTGGTTCCTGAACGTTATCAACAGCTTTTTCTTGAACACAATCATGCTGCACAGCAACTGTTGATTCAACAGGAACATCAGAAATTGGGACTTCAACAGACACCTCAACAAATGGTTCGTCAGCAGAAACTTTGAAAGGAACTTCATCCAAAATTGGCTCTTCGACAGACACTTTCAAAGGGGCTTTATCAGAAGTTGGCGCTCCACCCGAAACATGAGCCTCAGCAGTTGATTCCTCAAAAGACACTTCAACACCAACATTAGGAATTGTGCTTCCACCTTGAATATAATCAACATTTGGATCTTCGGAAAATTACTTAGAAATATTAAGAACATCCTCCCAACTCCTGTCACTTTCTTGGGACAACCCCATTCCCAAAGAAAAACTTGGAATATCAGCCTTTGTCTTTTCATATTGAGCTCTCTTTTCAATGGCACGCTCAACCTTCTCGATTACTGCAATAGTTTCTGGATTATTCCAGAAAGAATTCATTTCCTCACTGTCTTCATAATCAACTGTAGAAGGTCTTTGCGAAGATTCAGGATTGTCAAGATTGGAAGAAATGAGATTCTTGGTTGCTTCATGAATTTTCATGTAATCCCCATCATTTGCCATCTCCTCAGGTGCATCTTGAAGCAACGAAATCACATCAACAACATCAGTGGCCAAACAGGCAACTTTGCTAAGAAGTTTTGATCTGTACACCTGTTAAATAGACAAGATATAAAAAATGGACAATTATAAGCACATAAGCATTCAAAATTAACTAAATATGCATCACAATAGGTGTACATATGCAACACATAAGAACTAAACATCCACAACAGATGAACTAAGCATTAACCATAACGAATATGCAACTTTAATTAACTACATATGCAACTGATATCAACTAAATATGCAACTCCCAACAACTAAATATGCAACTCGTATCAACTAAATATGCAACTCATATCAACTAATAATGAAACTCATATGAACTACATATGCAACTCCTATCAACTACTTATGCAACTCATATCAACTACATATGCAACAAAAAACAAAAAAAAAAAGGAATAACAAACCTGTACAGGATCATCACAAACATCCTTTTATTCAGGTCTCTTGAACTGCAAAGGCGGAATTTCCTTCGGTTCATCAACAAATCCCGGCCAAAACCACCAACCTTAATTTCTTTAGAGCATCGTCGACGGAGAATCTCACAATTCCATCCAACAAACGAAGGCACACTCCTTGGAAGAACATCTCGTTCATAAATCACTACACGATCAACATATAAAACCTACGTTTTGACAAATAAATAAATAAAAATATCAAAGAATAACAATCTAAACAAATTTATAAGAAACAATATAGAGATGAATACTTACCATAAGAAAAAGAACATGACCATTAAACTGAGACTTCTTATTACTCTGGTGCCAATGATCACTCTTTGATATAAGGTTCTGGATGATGTAGTCGCACCACTTCAACTCAAATACAACTGACAAATCAGAAATAGACTTGAAAAAAAGAGGATTCACATATCCACACTGGTTTGTACCCACAATCAGACAATCCACAAGAGCAAGAAATTGTAACTTGAACCACTCATCTCCATTAACACACTCCATCATTTTCTTGCATAAAATATCAGGGGTAATTTTATTC